TGCGTTGCAGGTGCAACAACGACACATTTTGTGGTAGCGCTCCGCGCCAATTCTTCCACTTTACTACCAACTGTCGTTGCATTTTTTTTCAATTGCGTGGAAGACTGTGCGTTGAACCCTTCACCCTTTTCATTTTGGATCCACCCATTTGTTTGCGTAGCCACTAATTGCAGTGCACTCTTCGTTAGATCCGTTATGTGTGCCGGCGTGGTGGGTTTTATAATAACATTTGAACGCGACCTAGCATTTGCGACGATACTGTATCGTGGTTTCTGTGGGTTTTCTACTAATTTTGGTGTCATGGTGCGTCTGCGCTTTGCACTTGTTTCAGTTGTGCTCTTTTTTGCTGAAGTCGGGGGCGTAGCAGTTAAAATTAGCGATGTATCGTTGGGTACAAATAACTTGCGCTTTTTAACAGTTTTAGGTGGAGAAATCGGGTTTGTCGGAGCAGGTGTTTTTGGCGCAGCTATTTCTTCGATTGCCTCGTCAATTTCTATGGCGCGCTTCGAAGCCGACAGCAAAGTATTTGTATTTGTCGGAGGTGGAACTATGTTTGGGTTCTTTTCAATAGAAACTAGCTCAGGTGCTATTGAGCGTCTTGCCGAATTGTTTATATTGTGTAAACGTTGTTGTATGATATCCATTGAAACATCGAAGAGTGTACGCCGCCGATTGGCACTGGGTAGACGGGTTGAATTGAAAATTATAGTTGAAGAGTGCTCTTCGATTAACGCACCAACTTCGACTTCCCTATTCTTTTCTTTGTCGCATAGTCTTTCCTTACTTTCGACAAGTGTGGTTGGTGTTAAAGCAAATTGTAGTAAATTTTCGTCCAGCACTTTTGGTGTTCCATCTACTTGTGCCAACGACTCCAACACATTCTCCTCTACTGGTTTTGGGGTATATAGAGTGCGTCGCTTTGTTGTTTTTGATTTTTCGGGTGATATTTCAGGAGTTTTATTCGTGTAAGTTGTACGCCGTCTTATAATACGCTTTTTAATAACCGAGCCATTTTTTATGGGACTTTTCGGACTGCTCAGCTTTTGTCTTGTAGTAGTTTGGTTCACACTCTTCTTTAAAGTGTTCTCACCATCCTCTTCGGGTATTGCACTAAATGTTGCTTGATTGGAATGTGAGATTAAATCTGGCGTGCTCGGCACAAGCGTACTGAGGCTCATGTTGACTGTGGTATGAATTGAACTTCGTCGACGCGTTACTCGACAAGGTGTAACGGTACCAGACACCTGTAGTGAATAATCACTTCTACTCTGTGCCACAGGCATCTGAACACTGGAACGTCGTTGTATACAAGGTTTTTTAGGTGAAGGTATATTGGGATTTTTCTTCTTAGCCGATCTCTGTCCGGGCGATGGGAATTTTA